ATGGGGTCCATGTTATATTGATCACGGGGAAAGATTTGGCAGGAGGGAATGATTGACAACATATTACCTTTATTGTCAGTACCTATAGTAATTCCTTAATGACTGACAGATAATCTAAAAAACACATATATATATGTTCAGGTTTAAAAAGTTAGCCCATCTTAAGATATGTAACGTGACTTTCTAAGTATTTCTAAATAACAAAAATAATACGGTACAGATGTCGTCAGCACGTGGATTGCAGTGGCACAAAGTTTGTTTTCTTAGGGTTGGGGATCCCCCTACCAGCAAAGTCTATACTTGTTTTGTGCCACCGCAATCACATATAATTGTGTTATCAGCATGCGTTTTGAAATTTGAAAGCGAGATGTTTCTTCACTGCTGCCTTAAATGCATATATGGATTTTATACCCTTGATTTTGTCAGGCAGACTATTCCAGTCATGGATCCCGTTAAAATAAAAAGTACAGGTATCTTTCCCTTTACATGGTGGAACAACAAAATTAAAAAGATATGATCGTGTGTTATGCTGATGAACACCTGACACTTTTATGAAGTTTAGGTTTAACTAGGATGGACATTTTCCATAAAAAATCTTGTGCACATGATTGAGTCTTAATTGTTTGACTCTATATTCTATACTTAACATATTGAGCTTTGACAGTTCTGTGGGAGTGATACTCGTTCTGGGTTCTAATTGGCTAATAAATCTGACAACTTTATTTTATAAAACCTGTAATTTATTCTTCATTTTCTTGTTCAATCCTGAGTACCACGCGGAGCATGCATAATCTAGCTAGGTGACACTGTATAAGTGCAGAACATAAACTTTGTCTGTTTTTTGTTGTTAGACATTTAATTTGTCTGTATAAAAAATTCAGTCTAGAATTTACTTTCTTCGCGATGTTTTCTATTATTTCTTCACCAGAAATACAACAATCTATATTAGCTCCAAGATATTTCACAGATTTTGTTGATTTGATCGTATGATTGTTTGCGACAATTTCAAAATGATCAATTTGATTTAATTTTCTTTTCATTCCAAATAGCATGCTTTCTGTTTTACCTAAATGCAACGAAAGCTGATTATCAACTAACCACTCTGCACATGATTCAAGTACAGCACCAAGTTTCATGGAAATTGTTTCTGGGCTTTTATGTGCGAAAAGGATAACACTGTCATCGGCATATAATAGTAATTTGCATTCTCCATCAATGCTGATTGCCATATTGTTGACATAGCATAAGAATGAAAGAGGGCCTAAAATACTACCTTGTGGTATCCCACACGTAATAGTAGCTGGGTCCGAGTAGATATCGTTAATTTTGACTGTCTGATGTCTTTTACTCAGATATGATCTAAACCAATTTACAGATGTCACACCCATCATTTTCAACTTGCTACACAGAATGTCATGGTCCACCGTGTCAAAAGCTTTGCGTAGGTCTAGTAGCAACATGCCAATGTATAGACCTTTACTAGTATTACATTTAATGTGGTCTAGCAAATGTATAAGACAGGTATCAGTGGAGTATGCCTTCCTAAACACTAATTGATATTCATAAAGTATGGTGTGTTTTTTTTATCAGAAATGCTTGCATCTGCGAATACACCGTTCGTTCAAATAATTTAGAGACAATGCTCAATATACTTACTGGTCTGTAATTACCAGTATCTAGACTACTACCCTTTTAAAACATATGAAAACAGGCATGTGATTACCTCTAAGTCCTATGCCGCCTGGCTAATATCTCCCGATGTGCGTATGCCTGCGTGTGTGCTGGAGATGTAATGTTTTGCCTTGTTTGTTGGATTTATTTTTATATTTTTGTTTAATAACTAAGTTTTGATTGTTTTCATTGTTTGATTTTGAACGATCGTCCACAACGAATTCTCCAATTTAACAACTCAATCAGCAATGGAGCCTCGTTAATTAATTTGTATTTCAAATTAAACATTGCATCTAAAATACTATTACAATTTTAAGTCCATTTATCACTACGTCAGTGTATTCGAATCACACGGAAAGGACATACTCCTTTGCACTATTATATGGTTGTTGGCAGGGGTCACTGTGTATGTTAAGCTTAATTAATTTTTGACCCGGAAAATCCGGCGTGTTATTGGTTTTTGTGCTAAATTATAGATTACCTCTCGATTATTACTGAAGCAGTGAACCACGAATATCATTTTCTAATACGTAAACCCATTAAAACAGTCCCGTTATTGATTGAACACTATATCCCTGATATTAACCTCATTTCAGACAACAGCAGACGGCCATAATGCTATATAATAATAATCGTTTACAATAACGATATTGATCGGTGACAAACAATAAAATCTAAATTCCCCGGGGTCAGTGAAATTTTATCTTTCGTTTATACATAGCAGCGACAGCAGGAAAACAAATGCAGAATAGCCGCGATATTTCAGGTGTTTTCTACAAAAAAAAATCAAAACTATCTCTGGAAGCCATCATTGTTACCAAGGTTACGGTAAAATCGACGACCAATGACGCATCAAAGGATTGAATACAGAGGAGATTTGTCGTATCTATTAATTAATAAAACACATCGTAAAATTCTGCTGTGTCACGATTACCCCAGCAATTAAACTGATAACCTAACACGTCAGGTGCATGTTCAAGCTGTACTCTGTGAGGAGGTCGGGAATTTGGTTCAAACAGAAAGAAACATGCAACAAAAAATGATTTATCGACCTAAAATAACGCAATGTCATTAGTTCGTTTGGTTGACGTGTGTGAGGGCCCGGTTTCGATACAAAAGACTAAAGGTATAACCTTATATATATATATTACTTATTTAAACGGTTGATTCGTTAACCCAGATTCTCTTCTAAATATCTGGTGTTTACTACAAAAAAATCAAAACTATCTCTGGAAGCCATCTACAATGGACATATTGTTTTTTTCATATACTGGATTTATATATATTGATGCAATGTTTTACCTAACAAATCAATCTATAAAAATCAGAGCTTTCTAGTTAGATCTGTCCTAGATAGATGCACCCTGTTGTCAAATATATTGCGTTGCCATGGATATCTACAGGAGAAGGTTCAATGTACATAATGGAAATGTCACGGAAACCCATACCATGGTATGATTTTCTTGACCTCTGGTTGTCCTCTATCCCATTAAAGGGACCATTATTTCCTAGACCATTGGCTTGCCTGTTTTGGGACTCCATTTGATATCTCATTTAGTACTTTTCTTTTATTGATTTATTACCAGGTTTTTTTTGTCGTTTTCCATATTTTCTGGGAAACGCAAGTAGGAGAGGGAGATGGGTCGATGGGGGAATGCGGGGGTGAGGCTTGTGGAGTGTAAAACAGATGATCTTTGAGATATAATTCATTTTTTAATTAAAACATGAGTATTGGCGGTTTCTTTATCCTATCCAGGTTGTAGTGTATCGTCAACATGTTATTTTTAAGCATTTTGACAATACATTTATACCAGACCACGTTTGTGTATATACAACCTTTGCCGATGACCTGAATAAGGATATGCATTTATGAATATGCTTATAATCGTAATCATAATTCTGTGTTAAATGCCTAAGGCTGTCTTTTTAATTATTCAAGTAAACATGTAAACGTCGATACGACTGTCGCCTGACTGTAAGCTTAAATTAACTCGTGCCATACAGTCACGTTTTGTCGGTCATGTCGTAGGAAAACATTACCAGTTTAATGTCCTTTGATATAATTTATAAATATAAAACAGGTAAAATTATTTTTAAGTTGAGTAGCAACAGTCCCGTCTCCCACTCCAAACAATTATGATTCCTATGGACGAACATAAGCTAACAAACGCGACAAACAGTCGATTAGGAAAAGCACTTATAAGTATACTTAATGCTTGAACAGTATTAATAACGTGAGAAGTACAAACTACAAAGTGTAACACACGGATAGTGCGGATCGAGAGATTAGTTTTTGGGTTTGTTCCAAATGGGAATATGGCAGAAAATTGGTAATGTTTGAAAGACAATTTCTGTTTGGGAGTTAATCTTTATGGAGTCAGTTTATCTGCATAGTCGAGAACATTACAGTGGAGAGTCTTTTTCTTTCTCTTTAGGCCAGGTGCCTTGTTGTCTTTAATACAGCGTAATCATGATGGCTATATACTGACTAAATGTACAAAATTTCTCTCTCATTCTTAACATTTCTTAAATACTAAAAGTTCTAATACATCCTACACTGAGAAGGTGGGTGCCCTCCTCCCCCGAAACCCAGACAACACCTCACGAGAACTACTGCTACTTGACGGAAGTAAAAATGGCCACAGCTCGTACTATAGACCGTTACTTCAAGTATCACACACATGTTTTTCACTCCACTAATTCAATAATGTATTGTCAAAGTCACGAAAGTCACGATAGGAGTTAAACAACAAAGAGTTCTTGACAAATAAGGTTCTTTTTTCTGTGAAGTACCATTACACTACAGTACTGTTTTAAACTTGCCCAAGCAAGCTAAACTTATCAACAGAATATAGATTTTGATCGGTCTCGAGGGTAAAAAATGTTTTTTTTAATCTTTAGCTGTTTTAATATTGATTCGTTGCCCAACTGCATTATGCAGAGGTAATAGAGTTGTTTTATTCCTCATGGCTCTTTGTTTGATTACACAGTGGATGGTTGCATTTTAATGCTTTAGTTACAATGAAAATAGATTTGTAATGGATTGCAGACCTGTTTAAACCGCGAACATAAAAAGGAGTATTGATCTTTTGAAACAGAGCGCACTAGGTCGAAATATGATCTTCTCTGAAAGTATAAACTAACCCAGGCGATAATATCTCATAGAACTTTGGGGAGTCGATGGTAGAGATATATAAAATATATCAGTATTTTATATATACATTAATTACCAAGGTGAACCCTTTAGCTATAACGATGAGCTATATATATATGAGCGGACCGTGTCGAAAGAATAAGCTATTTATTATTGATTCATCCAGGTGTGTGTATGTGTACGCGAAAGCTTTAACACAGCTTGACTATTGGACTGCAACTTAACCAAGCATAGTTTGTTGATATTTACCTTATACAGGTAAGAACACCGATAGCTAACTATTGTGAAATCGGTTTACGCTACTCAATGCATATAACAATGCCAAGTAGCGTGCGATCCATGTAGTGTTGTATAGTTCAGTGTCAGGCGAGGACGCTCAATACACAGCACACCTGACGTGATGTAAAACCTTAGACAAGCGGTATCTCCATCGCAGCGAGATGAAGCACCGGCAAGGTAAAACGGTGGAACACAAGTCCCAAGGAGTTAAAGAAAATGGTTTCAATTCGAACTGTAGAAACAGGAAATGGAAACATAATGGAGTTTCTAAAGAGGTACAAGATCCAACTGAAAGCCAGTCTGAGACTGGGAAGATATTTCCAAATTGGTCACCATGGATACTCTACGCCATCACCTTGGTGATACGTGCAACTTATATCAACCGGAAGTCAAATTGGTGGATTTATCATCCGGATGAGATATATCAATCTATTGAAGGTAAATAAGAAAACGAAGGCAGAAGACTAGACAGTTTGTTTTACATGCATGTAATGTATAGTATTTATTGTATGAACAAACAACACAAGTTTTCATTTATCTGTTTAACTGATTCTATTTTTATTTGTGTATCTATGTTGGTTTTTTTTTGTAACTTTTAAAACTTTACACAAACATTTGATATCAAATATAAATTTGTTTAGGCTTTCGAATGAGGATAATCAGACTCAATGATTATCTAAGGCTTAGCACAATAGCGGGGCTACATTTTATTCACAGATTGACTTCATGTGTTCTCTGTAAGAAACATAAATGTATGTTTAATCCAGCCATCTGTCACATTGGTCAATGTGAATAATTAACGAGGAGAAAAAACCTGAATTAACATACGTTGTACCTGTGTCATGGGTGTGTGCTTATGAGAGATCAGGTTTGTACCTTATGCACTCTACCATGCCAAGGCAGGATTGCTAGACAAGAACATACAACACAAGTCAATTTTGACAGGAATAATTATACAGTCTGTTTTAATTCTGAACTAAGCATGCACACATTCCTTTTTGCAACCGTGTTGAATTAAAACGAAAAACAAACTTGAAGGAATCACATTTAAATGTAACCGAGCCTTTTAATGACATCGACGGGGGTTAATCAGTAAAGTGTAATACATATTGTAGGGTAGTTTTAGATATCAAGGAAGGGGACGTAATATGATGCAGCACTTATTGCTTAATCTTTTATCATTATGACTTTCGGGGTATATAGCATAATTTAAGGACATGGATCGTTTGATCTACTTTTCACATGAAACTTCTAGCAGTATCGTATTCCTGTAATTATTCCACATCTCACAACAGTCTTGCTTTGTTCTGGTATTTCTGGTATTTTGCATTGTTATGTTTTATTTCGGTGTTCACTTGTACAATAATTAAGATTGGTATGAGTATAGTTGACTTTATTGACAGAGATAAAATAAACATGCCATGCAATTCATATTTAGAAAATATAACTTTTCAACTGCTTACTTTAGATCATTATTTCCACAATATGTGTCCCCTTTGCCCTTGACTTCTTAGTCAATACACTTTAAGCTGTTACTTCAGCCTAAATCTCTAACTTCCGAGATCCTTATTGAACCTTTAAATTTACTCATTAACCCTTTCCCTGATATCCGTAAATTCATAAAAAGAAATTCGTAAAAAATCATCAAATATCTTATCATAACAAACCGCGAAATCAATTACTATAACACCAAAGTGCTGACCATATCAATACCAACTCAGTACCTTAACCCCGTAACTCTTCACCATAACAACTACTAACTCTTTGACAGGTAGCTATAACTACCGGTATGTAATCTACCCAACATCTCCTATCTCTAAACCATACAAGAAATTGTTCTCTTACCACGACTCCTTAACGTCAACCATAACAACTACTAACTCTTTAACAGGTAGCTATAACTACCGGTATGTAATCTACCCAACATCTCCTATCTCTTAACCATACAAGAAATTGCTCTCTTACCATGACTCCTTAACGTCAACCATAAGAACTATTAAACCTAACACCACAACTTCTAATTTTGAACTATAAGAAACACTTTCCGACACTGAAATACCACAACCCATTTAACATTACATATACCTTCATTATACCTAACAATAGCCCTTATTATAGCAGTCACTGATCCCTAAACCTGAATCCATTTACCCCGTAACCCCTAATCCACCTGATAAGCTGTGTTGATTACTGTCGCTTGTTACCGAGTTTTAAAGTTATTAAAATATAACCTCTACAAACACAACGTCTCAACTTCACGGTATGTCACTGTAGGTCAGTGAACGTTCTAACTTTAGACTTCCAAATTATGTTTCTGTCATGCAACTTGTGAAATATAAACATTGTGACGCCAGTGTGTACGATGAACTGAAATACCTTTTGATGAACTGAAAGTCGTTATTGACTGTCTACGTTTAGAACCTCATGAAAGTTGTGAAGAACGACTACAGTGACGCCAATGTAATCATGTTAATTTCTTAACGGGACAATGCGACAGATAATCATACTAAGAATTTGTCTCCATTTTTAACCTTGCTTTTCAAAACAGTACGTTAATACCGTAATCGCCTGAGGAGGCCGTTGAAATGGCCAATATATAGTGTTTGTACAGTAAAACAAATGTTTGGACGGAGTCTCTCAGTAAATATTAACTTATACAAAGGCCATCTGTTGATGATAGATGTCTATAAATAGAAGCAATTTCAGATACATTTCTTGCTGCAATACATGTATAGACACACCGATCCTATCTCTATATGAATCGACGAAATTAGTATAAACATTCAAAGTTTGGGAAACTCAGTTCGTTGTTGTTGTTGTAAAGTATTTAGAAGCGTAATTGTTTTCTTTCCTTGCATTTTCGTACGTGTATTTCTTATAATTTTGAAGGGACGATCACAATCACGTCAACTTACCACTTTGTTCGTTTAAAATATGTTTAAACTCCGAGATATACCACCAATTACAAAATATATCTGACAAACATACGTTGCAAATTGACAACTTGACACAAACAGGTAATGACATGGAATCGCAAAAAAAAAATCCGCAGCCTTTCCACTTGATTCAACCGGTGTGTACCTGTTCGGGAATATGGCAGTACGGTATTTAATGCCATCTGTTTTTTGTATGCTTCATCCTTCCTGATAATGTTTTCATGATAAAGATTCGATAGATGGGACTAGAAAATTGCTGTATTCCTTTTTGTCGGTGTGTATCGAGATTTCCAGTTATCGGTATTAAGAATGCTAGGAGCTGCACCTTACATAACTTCATCTTTTATATATATATGTAAAGTCTCACTATGAAAAAGTAAAAACTCGACATTAACATCAAAAATTCGATATATATCTATGTTGCCTTCCCCGTTGTTGTTGTTGTTGTTGTTGTTGTTGTTGTTGTTGTTGTTGTTGTTGTTTCATTTATTTGGTGGTTGACAGGATATGTTCCAATTCATCTTATTATCATAAAATGTCTTTCTTTCCTTCACTCAGATATTATATAAAGATATATTTGTAATGCATAGAACATTATATAATTTGATATTCATATCTGTGTGAACCATACCATGTTAACAGACACAGTATGCTAAAACAGAATTGCACTGTTTCATACCGCTGTTTCGTCCTTAGAAGACTCATCGGTGATGTCAGGGGCAAAAACGTTGAAAATATTGTCTAAACAACTGGGGCGGGTGCGTACAACACAGTAGTTTATGAGTTAAAGGATTATTTGTAAATTTAAAACCAAATAAATTTGTAAAGGGTGAATCAATAATAGTTGTCAACCAGTGCAATGGTTCGCAAAGCATGACATTTCTGTATCAATTATTGATATATTAAATAGTTATTGATGAACATCGTAGATATGCTCTACTAGCATATGATCAAGGGGAACACGTTTACAAAACATTAATCTTTCTTGTACAGTGCATATCGTATTTCATACCATATGCAAGAAGAATACATTACCTACGACTGACAGTAACTTGCATATGGAATGCACGAAATCATTTTTAGTTGTGCATATTTGTCCTTTTTTATCCTTGATTTCTCAGAGAAATTAAGTAGTTTACGAAAGCATGTCAGATACATTTTGTTGGGTATGCACATTGTTATTTAAATATCTAAACATCACACGGTATGCTTGACATAGAACGACCTAACCTTTTCTCTCCATTTATCACCTAAAACGTATGTTGTGTATCATTTTCGAAACAACAAATAATGCTTAGAGTAAGAGGACAACTGTCAGATCTAATTACTATGCGCATACGTATATTGACGATGCGTGCCCCCGTCTGTCAGCAAAATGATTTACAAGACCGCAGTAGTGGTAATTGAAACTTACACCACATTTGAGGACAAAGTTCAAAGGTCAAAGTCATAGTGTCGCATTAAAACACAACAAATCATCATAAATGATCATCACACATAAAACACATGTAACGTTCAATTACAAAAGGAAACAAAAATATGCCTAAATGATTATTTGTTTCAAAACAATAAATATATCAGTACTTATTGCAACATTGATTCTTAATCGGAATAACCTCAGCTAGTGAGTTGATCGATTCGTTTGAACAGCTTTGAACTAGTGCCTCAGAAAAATTAACTTAACTATATTTAAAATATAAGAGTGTCACGCACTACAACTTAGATCATTATTGCCCGCCTTTGAAGTCTGTGTACATGGTTATTGACTGTAAACGTTCGTCATTTTTGCTACAGATTTTGATCATTAAGTCTAATTATAAGTTTTCTTGCTTCTACGTGTTTGTACGTGTGTAGATAGACATATGCATGACTCAAATGATTTGACTACGATTTCAACGTGTTCTATCTGATCCATCTAATAAACAATGTCACGCGCTACCACTTAAATCAATAGCTGTCTTTATGGCACTCAATGCGTCATTGTAACATAGTGCTTCATATGACTTAAAAAATTCAATTAACCGTGTTGATTGAAATTATACTGTTTGCAAAACAGCATCTGTAAGAATAAAAGTAAATACATGTATACATGAAAATCGTATCGGCTAGACTTTTAAACAGGGCACTGTAGGGAGTGTGCATACTCTTATTTATATTTATGTTAAACATGAAACACATATATATTGGTTTCGAATCGATTGTCTCATTTCCAGACATGTTTATGTGTATTTCGTTTAGCAATTGCAAATCAGACATGTAGTTTTACTATCGAAAACACTTTTCACACACACGTGGTTTCCATAATGGTGTTTAAGATAAGCCGCCCGAATGTCATTTTGTTCTACTGAACTACAAATTTCTAAAACTCCTGTCTATCAGAAATTAAAAAAAACCTGTTCACTGGTGTGTTCATTTAAACAGCTGATAAAGCTTATTTTTAGTACTTTTGGCACAAAAATTATGTTAAAATTACAAAACGTAAACGACATAAACCAATGAGGA